TTCTGCTAGAATGCTTCCAGTTTCCCAATTTGTTGAACTTGCCATTATTTGATATACTTCATGGAGGAAGGGCGGTGGGGTAGCATAGTGGTTAAAGCGTTCGCTCGTCACGCGGTTGACCCAGGTTCGATTCCCCACATGGGTACAATGTGCGAAACACATTTTTAGTGTCCCCCGCTGTTATACTGCTGGAATATTGCTAAAGCCGGGTGAACCAATACTCACTCACTCTTCGGGAGTAGGTGGTTGTTTTTAACAAAAACATTTTTTTCAGGGAAATTATAGATAGTTTAAGTTTGACACCTTAAGATATATCGCTCAGTGGACGTGCTGGTCGTTTTGTAAAAAAAAGCGTGACTTACAAAATAGTTCAGCTGATTTATAGACACAGTTCTATAGTCTGTTTGCAATGAAAACGTACAGATGAATTTCACTTTACACAAAAAGGAAATCGAATAAAGTGACATTAAGATTGCGAATCCTCATAATTTTACCTTGCCAATTGAACATTTATATCTCAGAATTTTATTCAACTGAGGATAAAAGTTGTTTAACAAACGATCATAGTTTCAAATCGCTATTATTGGTTTGTATTACAAGGGGTAAGCGCAGTAGTTGGAACAGTGAAACAATAATAGCGATGTAAAAAGGTAAAATTATGAGGATTCGCAATCTTAATTTCACTTTATTCGATTTACTTTTTTGTTTGAAGTGAAATTCCTCGGTACGTTTTCACTGCAAACAGACTATAGCTGTGACTGAAAAAATATTTGGTGCCATAAAAGCAGCATTCGTTGCTATCATTATCAATCTCTCTATGAACAGATAAAATCAACCCATCGACACAGCCGCTGCTGTTAACACAAAACAAATTCTTTTTTATTGAAATGCTTGTCATCCTCGAACAAATTTTATCTAAAAGAACAGATCATTAATCTCCACAAGTACTTATTTTTCTGCTATTCGTTTAATCGATGGTTCTTGCGAACTTCACAAGTGTGTCTTTCAATATCATATGTAACTGAAACCGGAACTGAAACAGCCATAGACTTCATTCATGAAGTGTTGGTCGAGCTGGACACAGATGGCCAGTGTAATCTTATCAATGTGGCGAGAGGTCAACTGCCCGGAGCGTCTGTTACCTCTCCTGATGACTCTTATTGGTCAACTGCAGCTGTCCACCTTTCGTCCACTCCTCTGATCACCCCTGAACTTCCCGCGGCCATATTACAATCTATCAGTCACATTTGATAGGCATTAGAGGGCCACGCGGGTGATTGAAACAGCGTCTCTAAGAATTTGAGTTACTTCGTCTGACGTCTTTATCGAGATTTGAACTCCCCTGGTTGCCAGTCACGCGAATGAGTCGCACCTTGCTCGATCGATAGGTCCTCAAACTACAGGAAAATTTTATAAACGCTTGGGATTATTTCATTTTTCCTTAGTACACATTGCATCATTTAAGCGTTGACAAGTTCCTGACGAGCCTCGGGGGAGAGGGCAAGTAGATGTCGCCCAGACCCATGGGTAGACCGTCGGCTCGTTAATATGCGTAATGGAGGCGTCATCGGTAAAAACTGTAATAAGAACGCTTGTAATGTGGCGAGGTATTCCCAATACGTGCGCCCAGTTAGGCCTCGTGATTGATGACAGAGTTTGCGCGTAAAAACCTTAATGGTGAACGACTTGATAAAACATATCATCTGTGTATTCTGAGAAATACAATTTCGTCTGAGTGACTGCGTTACGTCTTGGAAAAACCAGTTAAGTAACGAATACGATCACGATAATCTGGTTTCCTGCTAACTGTTTTATTCCGGATTTTTTTTTTCGGTTTTGGTACCAAGTACTAAACTTTGTACTTTCTCTATATGGGAAGAAGTTCGTTCAAGTTTCCATGGCGTTGTATACTCTTCAAAACGCAGGGGAACTTCATTTTTAATTTGCGATTAAATAAAATTCACTATTAACAGATACTACCACATCATTGTTACATAATCTGGCAATGTACGTCTATTTCGCTATGAGCTTAAGAAAACGGATTGTTATAGAAAAGAATTTGTAAATGACTTCTATCTGCTCATGTAAACTTTAAATGTACAACAGGCCTGTGGCCGTTTTAAGTACTGAATAAAGATTGATTGAATGAATGACTGAAAACATTGGGAGTATATCGGAGTCAGTGAATGTTCATATGATAAAATGATTGTCAAAGTTAATGGTCTACAGTGATTTATCGGCCTTCTTGAAAACCGTCAAAATCAAGAATGACACCAGATGTACTTATATGGGGCTACTGGGTTGTGCACGTGCATCCCATGCGTTGTGTTTAGGGGTGGTGATAAAGAGTGGTGCGTTCATAAGATGTGTGTCTGAAACATTTGCTAACGCTTATCCTTCCTATCCAAATTGAAATTTCAGGTTCCCCTACTTTTTTAAGAGTATATTTTAAAGATTACTTTAGGAAAGTAGGCAAGTATAATTTGTATAAACATACCCTATGTAGTGAACATCACGTCATATAACCTTCAATCATTGATGGTGCAGTCTTCTGGGCTAAATCGCTGTTGAGATTCATAGCCTTTCTTAGAGCAAGGATCCGCTGACCAATTGTTTCATTGTGTTGCTCTGAATAATATGTTTGTTTTTACCAAAGGTCGACAATACGACTGAACGACATTTTCACAGTCAAAATGTACGGTGCTGATGCCAATTTAATTAATATGTGATAAAACGGCGTTAAAATGCCAGACAAATGGTGAAAATATGGCGCTGTCGCAAAGTGACGATGTTGTATTTGGCTGAGGGTCAGACGCAGGGTCAGGGCAAACCGAAACATGAGTCTCATTAACCAATTCAGACAATGACCTACTTTTAAGCCGATCCGAATTTTCTCGAGTGAAAGTGAAAAGAGACACTATAAACAAATATGGTTACACTGAATTCCACTTACTTGTTTCACAGGAGAATGGTATTTACAAATTATTTTCAATTCTAAAGTTTAACAAAATCGTATTTCTATATTTTATGTCGAGGTTTTGGCAGCATCTCATAAACTAAGACGTCACAGACTGCCCCTGTTTGAAGAGGTCGTACAATGATTCACAATTCATCTGGCTCACTGGTTACACTGTTTTTTGCTCTTTGTGCAAATTAAGTATATTTTTGTAACGTACAATGTGATTGATATAATATCAAGTCCGTACCAGACCGCCAAACTTTTCTAGCGACCGAGCCTCGTTTTGAGATTTCGACGATTTCCAGATTTCCGCTTGACAGAGAACGCTGTATACGACAGAGCACGCTGCACGGCGGCTTTGTAAGGATTAAATGCAGCGTAGTGTTGCAATATGCAAGTGATTAGATGTATTAGATAATAATAATTAATATTTATGTATCCAGTTGAATGAGTTGGTCTCAAAGTTCTGGACTGGTTATTGTACTAAGTTGCGCAATAGGACGGGACCCAGTCAGCAGGAAACGAGACTGTTGTGTAATCAATGTTTTGACTTGGTCTGCCAAGGAATGAAAGTGTAACGCCAATTGCAAATATTCCCACTATAGTATGAAATACCACCCTAACAGAAATATTACTTTCAAACTAAATTTATCCCTAGATTTGACGTAGAGCCAAAACAGTAATTCAATAATAATTTAATACCTCCACAAATGACAACAGTATATGTACTTCGAAGATAAAATTTAAATTTAATAAGCTTGCATTATATATTTTGTGTTTAAAGTATTCTGACAAAATATTTAATTTATTGTTCTAACGATTTCTTCAAAACAAATACAGATGCGCGATTTGAGAGATGTGTAGAAAACATCAGGGTGTGAAAAATACATCTCTACTTGAACGTCAACATGAACGACATGATCTCCATCCCCCAGTCATTTACGGCAAAGAAAGAACTTTGTCTAAGAATGTATTGTAGGGTTCCAATGGCCCACGCGAGAATATGTGGGCAGATTAACCAAAGTTAAGTCTTGGTGCAGGCATATTGTTGTCAAAGAGATTCAATATATCAGTCAGAGATTTAGCGTATAGAAGATACACTTTTGGACTTTCTGACTGCAACCAGGTCCATTGTGTGATAGTTCGATAACTGGCGTATTCCTCTCACATCGCTTCCTGTATTCTGGCTACGTTTTTGTGAGGGTGGTTTCTGTAACGATTTATCGTACGTGGTGATTACAGGCTGCAATTCTATGCTTCCAACAATTGTATTGGCTGTAACCTCGCCACTGTTGGTGCATTCGTCATTCATAGAGGTATTGATGGATTGCCAAGTCCGTTACATTGAATCATCAACTTGCGCTGTCTAATCACTATACACGTACTCATTACTTAATATTGCCTCACCCCTTTACACTGTCTTGACCCTTTGTATTGTCTCTTCACTCTACTTTATTTCTGGGGCGGAGGGGTAGCCTACTGGTTAAAGCGTTCGCTCGTCACGCCGAAGGCCCAGGTTCGATTCTCCACATGATAAAATGTGTTAAGCCCATTTCCGGTGTCCTCCGCCGTGATATTGCTGGAATATTGCTAAAAGCGGGGTAAAACTAAACTCGCCATCTATATTGTCTCATCACGCTGCATTGTCTCATTACTTCTACCCTGATAGATCACTTTACCTAGTTTCATAACTTGACATTTGTCTCACCCCGTTACACTGTTTAACCCCTTGCATTCTCTCACTGATTTACATTGTCGCATTACCTCATAGGCGGCCCTTGCATTGTTTCCATCGCCTTACATGGGCGGTGGGATAGCCTAATGGTTAAAGCGTCCGCTCGTCACACAGAAGACCCGGGTTCGATTCCCCACATTGGTACAATGTGTGAAGCCCATTTCTTGTGTCCCCCGCCGTGATATTGCTTGAATATTGCTAAAAGTGGCGTAAAACCATAATCACTCGCTCACTCACACATCACCTTGCATTGTCCCATCTCAGCAACCTCTTTCACCCCTACATCCTTCTACTCTCTTCCTACAGAGCAGCCTGTTGAGGGATGGACGCTAACAGTCTGGTTGTGTTCACGACAGTCATACTTTGCCTCAACTATGGCCACTCAACAGCCAAACAACAGTCTGAACAGACAGTCGGGTAAGCATTGGACCAGTCCATCGTTTTGTTTGTGTTTTGTGTTTCAAACACCCGTTGTGCCGAACGTTGATGTATCTCGAAGATTGTAGCGAACTCAAAGGGATCACTAACTGTAGTTCGTTATAACCGTAGTGCACGCATTTAGACTAAAATATACAGCAAATGGCTGTGCAGACGAAACATAATCATAAATATAAAATACTTAAAATTTATGTTTTGGCCGTTTTTGATGGATTAGAAAAATACAAAGATGCAACTCGAAGTAAAACCCGATAATTAAAATTATTTGAGTTCGTTACAACCGAAGTTGACTGTATTATACATTTCAGCAAAGAAGACGTTATGTTAATTCGTTTATTGTTTTTGACTTCAACAATTCATTAAGACAATAAAGTAATAATTACTTATTCACTTTAATGTAAAATTCACATATATTTTACTGTGAACAGAATTAGCATTAAAAATATATTTTCGACTACACAAACCGAGACAAACAACTTTGAGATTTTTTAAATTATTCCATTTTACTTGTATTTCACCTATCCCAAAGGTACCAGCCATTACAATCGGGAAACCATGAACATAAAAAGATGGCCTCATTCAGTTACTACATTTTACCTTCATTTGACCTATCCAAAAAACATCAGCAATTAAAATCGTGCCACCATGAACATAAAAAGATTACCTCATTCCGGATAATTGTAAGTTATACATTTGTAGATCACTACTGGGAGCAATTTCAGATTAAGCCAAGCCAACACCTCAAAAACGTGACCTTCATGAATTAACTGTAGATTACTACTCATAATCCGAGACATATAAGGGAAGTCCCACGAGGCAGATTGTGATGTTGGTAATAACCATGCCGTTTATGTAGTCACAGACACCGTGTCTGGTGGGCCAGATGTTCCAGGCATGAGGCTTCCAGCACGATCATTGCTCCACTGGTCTGGTGTTGGCTTCAGTGTTTTCGTGCTAACGGTTCTTGACCTAGACGAAGGTGCATCTGCACCATTCTATTGTTATGTACCATAGGCCCAGTTCCGTTTCCTCAAAGCGTGATCTGAAACATACACATGTACGCACGCACGCACCACACATCTCCCCAACCCCTACACACATCTTCATTGCGGTGATTTTGCCAGAAAAATGGTCTTTGGAACTAATGGCTACATGGAGATTCTTGCTTCCTTCCTTCGTTCTAAATCAACGTTCACTGGTTCCACCGATTCTTCCCTTCACAACTTTCGTTAATCTGCGCCTTTTAGAAGAAGTTGGTCAGAAGAAACTCCTTAGCACATTCCTCTTCGTTGGCTAAGGAACAATAAATACAAGATTAAATGAATTGAACGATGACGTGTTTATTGTTCAACCATTTCAGTAGAATTAAGTGGAGATGAATGATGACAGGCTTGAAGGCGAACAGGCCTTGGGATCAGAGCTTTGACATCCACCCCCATTCATGAGGTGAAGAATCGTAAAGCTGCCCCCTCTTATGAAACATAACGATTACAGATTACAACATTTCAATTGACCGAATTAGGATTCAGCCATTAGATGCGGAACAGATGCATCCCGCCACTATCGACTGTATCTGATTGTAAACGCTTTAATTCAGTATCCGTTAATATTTTGTAATAGCTTCTCAAGAACATAGCTGAAGCGATGGGTTTGGGTCAGAGAGTTTAGTTTTACGCCAAATTTAGCAATATTCCAGCAATATCACGGTGGTGGACACAAGAAATGGGTTTCACACAATGTACCCATGTGGGGAATCGAACCTGGTTCTTCCTCGTGACGCTTTAACCACTAGGCTACCCCACCACCGAGGTGAGGATCTTACGTGGTTACCACATGTACACGGTGAATGCCACGTGCATTGTACTGACAGACTTACAATGATTCAAACCAATGATCGGATTCTGGTGAGTGAGTGAGTCTGATTTTACGCCGATTTTAATAATATTCCAGCAATATCACAGAAATGGGCTTCACACATTGTGCCCATGTGGGAATCGAACACGGGTCTTGAGGGGCGTGAGGAACGGACGCTTTAACCACTGGGCTACCCCACCACCCTCGGATTCTTGAAATACAAAGGGACACAACTCTGCACAGCGAATTGTGACGCCTTATATCCACTGTTGACAAAACCGGAAACTGAAATGTCAGTTGACCCACAATGAGCCTCAAACACGCTCGAAAGGAATTGTTAAATTTGATCTTTGACTGGGACACAAAATGTGCATACCCAAAATGGCGGCCGATAGAAGAGACGCCTGTCGGTAAAGGGGAGGTAACTAGAGCAACCGTTTCTGGAGTGTATATTAATACACGACCTTCACCCTGATAAATTACTTTATTTTACAAGACTGACACAATGAAGCATATCTGTAACTTGAGAATAAGAATATATTAATGATTTCTATTGTATCTTAGAGTTTTGGGTTTCAGGGTTGTGATAAACAAGCTAGAGCAACTGCTGCGAGATGTGTCCAGTCTCAGACAATCAGTGGACCAGCTGGACTCTGATATCCAGACTTCCTTGTGAGTAAAGACTTTTGCTGTGTTTGTTTGTTTGTTAATTTGTTTCCTTTCTTTTATGTTTAACTAAAAAAGCAATAGTTCAACTGTATAAAGGAGATTTGTAAATAGTCCCATCTGAACCAGACAATCCAGTGATTGATGATGCGAGCATGGATCCATCCCGGTATGACACCGGTTCTGACCGGATCCGTTAAAGGCAAAATTTCACACATTTTCGACAATATTTTGGCCGGTATTAGATATTGAGGCATATGCACTCACTTTTAAAGCTTCCTATTGATGCAATAAAAGACCTACTACCCCATACTACTTGCCTGAAAACGATAACTGAAACTTCGAGGTGAATAACTTCCAAACACTTGCCATGGAATATAGACAATTGCTCCGTACATCGAAAACTGTCGCACGCGGCGTTGTCGGTGTTGGCCGATCTGGTTTCAGTCACAAGTTACGCGTATGTTTTGTTTAGGACTGAGTTCTGTCTCCAAAGGCGACATAGGATGCTCATAAAGAGCGCTCCAAGGGACATAACTCTATGGGGCTCGCTTGAAATAATGTTGGGTCGGTAGAGGGCGCGAGAGTCGACTTAATGCAACGTTGCATTACTTCATTCGTAATTTTGTATTTAATAATGTAATCTAAATACATAATTTAAAAAAAAGAAGTTACATGCTAGCTTCCCACGTGTCCAACTAAATTCGCGTAACAAGATCGACATCCAGTTCATAAACAACATGGCGACTGCCGTGGAGACATATTTGTATTTTATGGTGTTTAAATGGCTTGATGATCTTCGCGAGGTAACACCATTTTTTAATCATCCTGGTTTTCATTGACTGGCCTTTTGGAAGAGCATAAAATAGTCCTGACTTTCAACAGTCACGGTTGACACCAGTGGTCAAAGGTCAAAGATATTTATTGTACTTAAGGCCTCCGGCCCATATACAAGTAATACAAGTATATATACAGCACGTGTTACAGACATTTCACAAAGAAATTACAGTTCAGATAAGATATTGCTTCTAAGGATAACAGCATGTTTTACAAACAGCGCTAGATTACGTATTACGGTTTAATTTTTAAGGATAGAATGGAAAGAAAGGCAGTTTTAAGGATGTTTTAACTGGGATATATTTTTTTCTTAAATCAGCATAATGTGGTGATACAAAAGCGAAGTGAATTTCATCTTCTACAGCCGAGTTACATAATGAACATATCCTTAAACTTCTCTCTACTGAGAATTTCTGCCTTTATTTACTGATAAGTGTATGTGTGTGAAATAAGGCCCGTTTGACCGCTCGAGAAGAGCTAGATTTCTGACGGACGGTCTAAATTTACAGCTAGCCAGCCCGATGGTCTGGTAAAAAGATGCAGATAACATGTTAAATGCATCTGAGTAATTCTTAAAATCTTTTTTAATTGAGCGTTACATTTAGACTTGACAATTACTGTTTGAACGTTGAACTATTGTATCTGAAGCTCAAAGCACTGCGTTGACATGTATTATCACTAAAACAGCGACACCTATCAATGCACGGAGTTTCACTGTAACTAAAAGTTGACTTATATTCTTTGGAGTGTCTGGTCTGGTTAAATCCAATTTGAGCCCTGATGTTTGGCTGGCTATTTGGCGTATTTCACACGGTTGACACTCCGATCGAGCCACAAAATCCAGTCCTTGTTCGGCAAAGGTGGATACTTTCAAATACTTTCCATTTGTGTGTGTGCAATCGTTGAAAGATTTGTCTTGACATAATGTCTTTAACTTCATATAACTTTTAATATATATGTAAAAAGCCTTGAACCATATCAGTGACCTCCTCACTCCAAAGACGTAACCTCGTGGCCCCCAGTGGCATCGCGTGTTTCTAGTCAAACTATAAAATGTTCAAAAGATGATGCAACTAAAACCGTTTGCTTCAAAAATCAATCGATAAAAAGCCATACGAACTGAACGTCCTTCCGCTGTGAAGAAGCGCGCTAAACGGCAGTTTTTCATAATAGATTATTGAATGACTTGTTAATTCGATCGAAAATAGTTTAATTGTTAGCCAAGATTAATGTCTTTTCAAAGGATAAATGAAACACACTGGCGTCATTTACCTAATGTAACGACAATCAATAATGTGTTCATCGGTTGTATGACTTGCAGCTAACGGACCGCGAGCTCCTTTGAACAATTTTCTGGATAGAGCTATATATGTGTATTGAAATGATTAAATATTATAATTCTTCATGTTGCGAATAATGTAAGCAAAGTAAAGCGGGTCTTCAAAGGGTGTTCTTCTGTCAGTAGTAGATAGCACGACATCCCTTTGGAATGTGTGATAGAATGGGTCCCACACTTACTTTCCGGGCGGTGGGGTAGCCTAATGGTTAAAGCGTTCGCTCGTCACGCTGAAGACACGCGTTCCCACATGTTTTGAAAAGAACGGGCAAATCTCCACACGCGTGAGAAGGGGCGGTCCTGAGGTTAAAGCGTTCGCTCGTACGCCAGACCTGGGTGATTCCCCACATGGGTACAATTCTTGTGTCCCCCACCGTGATATTGCTGGAATATTGCTAAAAAGCGGCGTAAAACTAAACTCACTCACTCACACCGCTCCACTGTCATGTAATGGCTCTAAATTAAGCCAATTAGATCGATGCTTATGCTGTTGATCACTGGATTGTCTGGTCCAGACTCGATTATTTACAGGCTGCCGTCATTTAGCTGGAATATTGCTAAATGCGGCGTTAAACACCAAACAAGCAAAATTAATCTAAATGAAGCAAGATTTTCTACAGGTTCCATTCTCACTGGAGGTCCCTCTTTTAGAGCAACTGTTGTTTATTACTGATATCAAAAAGGACGATGCGTAAGTGTACTGACAATGTACAAATGCATATCAATTCCAACATTCCTTATGCAATAACTGAATATCGATATTTTCAAAAGTACATATTATCGACTGATTTCATTGAAAAGCTTCTTTGTTAGCTCGAACCAAAGAGTTAATCTTTTACTGTACAAGCCATTAGCTAGTCAGAACCCTCTCGTAAATGTGCACAGAGTTTTTATTTGGTAATTCTTTTTAAAAAAAAATTGAAATATCAAAGTTTAATCTTTTTAATATAATTTTTACACTTGTTAAATCCGCACTAGTGATTCACAGAGTTTCTACGTGGTAACGTTACATTTTCGTTATAGAACACTTCAATGAAACACCCAATCTCTTAATTCGCCATCTACTGGTAAATGTCCCAAAACACGTTAACTGTTACACGGAAGCGGTACGCTACTTTTTACCGTTATTCAGATCTGGATTAGAAAGCTTAATGTTCATGAAAGCTTCCTAACTTGACAAATGACAAAAAGTCAAAACTTCGGCTTATCGCTGAGCGTACTTAGGAAGTGTTGACGTGTTACCCACAAGCGTTGGCGTACCTCAGTGTCAGACGAAACGTATCACATAGCAACGTCGATAAGCCACAGGGGGTCATATGGAACTCAACAAAGGAATTGCAAAACACAAAGAAAAGAAGAATGGCATTAGTATCTTCACCCAGACGGAAACTCCTTGAGTGCCACGATTGTTTCAGAAATTGGTAAGGAGGCGTGTTTGATAAAGTTGGGGTGATGACAGCGACGTTCCAGCAACAACTGTGGCGTCCAGTTGCGACTTCATTACTCCCGTGGGAACATCGGCAACATAAAAGTCACACCGGAATTATTTTTACTGCCAGGTTTAACGACTTGTCGTGAAGATGAGAATATCTGCCGTTAAAATGGGCAGTGGGTGGAAGGGAACTTCAAAAGAACGTTGTGATGTAATGTTGCCCTCGCGAATAGTGTCATAATGAAGTTGAGAACATCTGTCCTTGGTTCTGAAATTTATAGATATAAATAGTAATAATAAAAACGATGTACATTTGTATTGAATACATTCAATAACACTGCTAATGATAATGATGATGACGATAAAGATTTGAGTATGTACAATAATAATGTTAACTATAATAATCTGAAGAATCCTAAAGCTGTATTAGTTTATTCAATTGTTAGTTTTTATTTACTATCCTTATTCTTATTCTTCTTACTGCCACTGTTTATTAGCTAGTGTTAACATTTTTTTTCAAATGTTTAAAACTAAACTTACTCACTAATACATATTTTCTCTTCTTTTCTCTGGTTCCAGCCAATGATACCCATATTATTTTAGAGAGATACCAATGGACAAAGTTTATATATGATACTCCTTTTCCCTACAAGTTTAATAAATGTGCAACCATATGTACAAAAACACTGCTACGGACCACCATTGTTTCAAAAACAGACCCAACGTGGCGGTGATAGCACCGTTACCACGTAACCCGACGGATCCAACTGTTAACGTAGCAAAACATATCTCTTACGCCATGCGTTCAAGCACATCTGTTTTTATCACCGCATCAATTCCACGCGTGTATACTCTTAAGAAACAAAATAATCTTAAAAAAGAAAAAAGTGACACGTATCTTCGTTTGATTAACCCGCAATGAATAAACGGGATGAAATATGAATGGAAGTTCCGATCAATACCGGGGATAATTATATTACACGTTTACCAAATGACTTGCTTTGTCAAGCTTAACGTGGTCATTCCCAATGGAGTTTCAAAGCCACGTGTTGTAAGATTACAAAGGTGCTAGACTTGGCAAAAAACGGCTTCCTTGTCTAATCAACAAGTCCCAGTCGGGAGGCGAGCGTCATTAAGACCACTATATTTGGTTAATCAAATGAATCCCCCTATAAAGCATCTTGCCGGTATTGTACTAATGAAGTTATAGCTGGGCTTCTCGTCTCTCGGAGGTGGCGCATCCAGTGAGCTTCTTGCACGGATTACCCAGAGTTCCCTGTACCAGCCTTGTCAGCTGTCGTTAAAAAGGTCTCCGTTGACGAGGGAAAAACGCCCTTACTCTTGACAGACGGGACATTTAGGATACGCATTAAGTCGATGACTGATGCTTAACCATTAAGT